CAAAAAAAAAATATATATAAAAAATAAAATTATAACAAAACAATCTTCAAGAACGGTGTGAGCCCTCTGCTTCTAATAGACGATCATCACGTCAGGGTTGCGTGATGACGTTGCAGCAGCTCTTGAGCGCCGTCTGCTGCTCAACGTCAAATATAACAGCTGTAACAACTAACATTGATTAATTACCCTGATGCATGCTCAATAATCCAGGTAGAAAAATCTAAAAAAGTTAAATCTGGTCCTCTGGACATTCAAAAAAACAAAACAAAGCAAATCAACAAAAAAATGTAGAAACGTTTCGTCTCTCTCGGACTTTGTTTTTTTGAATGTCCAGAGGACCAGATTTAACTTTTTTAGATTGATTAATTACGCACCCAGAAAAAAAAGGAGCCGAACACCATGAGTTTTTTTTTACATTTAAAATTGTTCCCAGCAACAGTTTTCCAAACAGTATGACTTTTTGATGTTCCTGGGTTTTTTTTTCTTTAGAGATTTGATTTACTTTTTCAAACAGATCTTAAATAATATAACTCCATCTTTAGTGCTTCTCTACTGTAATCAGGTCCAGAGGGCAGCAGATTCAGAGGAGAGACTCGGGCCTCCCAGAGACCCCCCAGCTCCTCCTGGGGGTACCCCAAGGTGTCAGCAGGCCAGAGAGGAGATATAATCCCTCCAGAGAGTTCTGGGTCTCTGCTCAGTGGGACATGCCTGGAAAACCTCCAAAGGAGGTGTGTTGATCAGCTGAACCTCCTCAGCTGACTCCTTTCGATGCAGAGAAGCAGCCCAACTCTGAAGGAGGCGCATTTCAGCTGCTTAGATCCAGGTTCTGGTTCTTCATGACCACAGGTGAGGGCTGAAACGTAGACAGACCAGTAAATAAAGATCTTTGCCTTTAACGCTGTGCTCATTTTTCAAACAAGACCTTGTAGTGATAGCTGGAAACCCAGATAATATGAGCTGAAGTGAGACAGACTCCAAGATGTAGAACGGTTAACAGCCATTTATTTACAGGGATGTTTATAGATGATGTACAAGGTGGACTCTGGAACCCTGGGGAGCAAGGAGAGAGGTCAGGTGGGTTCTTCTCACAGGTAGATGCTTTTATTTGCTTTCTTTTCTTACAGTTGGTAGGACTGAGCCAGGTGGAGAAGGTGGCCTGAAGGAGTTCCAGTTCAAAGGAGGATGCAGACGTCGCAGGCAAGTGGTAGGAGGGCAAGGAGACAGCTGAGGCAGTCCACAAGGAAACCAGGCTTGGTCAAGGAGGTCAGGATCCAAAGAGCCTCAGGGAGACTGAAACATGAAGAAGACAAGGTAAGTTAAAGTGGTTAACACACAAAGAGCCAGAAGCACAAGTACCGGTACCAGGCATCAGAATGCTCTAACGGAGAGTTGGGCTCCTTAAGTCGTCCTGGCTCCTCATCAGGGGAATGGGTCGCAGGTTTGCTCGTTAGACGCCATCTCTCTTTTTCTCTCTCTGTACTCAAGTGAAGTCAGACGTGTTTTCCCGGCACTCCGTACTTCCCCACCCCCCCGCTTCCCTGCTTGCACTCTTTAGTCCTGTGAACTCTTAAAGAGCCTCTTTTTCTTTCCTGCACACCTCCTAATTCGAAGGATCAGCCGGTCTCTCAACAAAATTGATCAACTTCTCCCAACAGGAGCCAGGATAAGGAGGACCCTCATACCTCGACAGAAACAAATTGGATTCATGATGACAACTGTTTTTTTTTTTTTGTTTTTTTTGCTGTTTGGCTGGTGAACTCTGGATTGTCTATAAATTTGTGTGGATGTGTCAAAGCTCGACAGCACTCAGACTGAATTATGTGCAGCTGCGTCAGAGAGCTGGAGCAGCTGTTATCAGGACTGTGGACTCTCTAGCAGCACACATGAAGGTGGGAATAATTTTGGAGAAGCTGTGAGCTTGACTTTAAGGAATTAACAGACCTTTTTCACGACAACCGGAAGTAGCGTCTCCTGGTGCTGGGTCACTTCCTGTTATTGCGAGTCTACGCAAATGCAAACTTTTCTTTCGCTGATGTGGAGGAAATCGCAGCGGCGAATTCTTGAACCAATAAACTTGAGAAAGGATAAAAGTTCTTCCATGAAGAATATATCCACAGCTATCAAGGTAAGAAAAGACGTAGCTTTGCGAGCTAACCGTTAGCTACAACACATGAGGTACATAAACATCGTAATAAAGCCTAATTTAGTGTGCTAAATGATTTGGAGTATTTGAGACAGACGTGGTATAAACTTTTAACTGATATTTTAACATTCTGATATGTGGTTGCCATTACAATTTGTGAAAGAAAATCTACTAGATGTTAGTTATGAGATGCTGTGATGCTTGATGTTCACTTCTGCAGGTCAAATATTGTCGAGGGACAGGTAGTTGTCAGAGTGAAGAAAAATGAGGAATCACAGACTGCAGGTTTGAAACAGTCAGAAAGCCGGTTGGCTCATGTTCATTAGTTCATGTTCATTTCTGACAGCTGAAGAACTTTGACATATGATGGACAACTTCTGTACTGAGAGCTCACAGTAACATCTTCCTGCTCACTGGTTACTGTTTGTGGTAGCAGCAAAGTCTGTTTTGTTCGGCTGATGTTTCAGCTCATCTTCAAACTAGAATCTATTACTTGTTTAAAGCTAAATATGTTATAACGAGTATCATATGTGTGTGCTAAAAACAGTTATATTTTAGATCTCACTGGGTGACAGCAGGAGAAAAACTACGTCAGCTGGAGTCCCAACCACTTATCGCTCGTCCTATCTTTGGCGCTGGTACCATACAGATGTGGTCCTGTGCCACAGGGCTCACAGATGTTTTACCAGTGCCCACCTGAGAAGTCCTGCGTAGCATCATTCTGGTCCACACTTCCCTGCTCTTCCTCTGATGCTGCAGTCTTCTCAACATGTGTTTTGTGTCCACACTTCACATCTTCAGTCTCTGCAAGTGTCACTGGAAACGTCTTCTCAGAGGCCAGAACCAGGAGCAGTCCAGATGTTCTGCTTACTTCAAGACCTTCATCCATTATACTGTTTATATCAACGCAGTCAGAATCATAAAATGTACAAATCACACTTTTGTTCCTTCATATCTTTAATATTCAGTCTCAAGCTGTGAATCACTGTAAATACTGTAAATAGTTGTTACTCATGAAAAATACATAAATGTGCCAATTTCTTTAAAATGAAATTGAATAATTTGGGAAAATTATCTTTAATCCACTATCAATTTATAGTGTACAGTTATAAAACGTTAAATAGTTAAGGGCTTTTTGTTTTTACTAGATATTGTAAATTACACTTGTTTTCCTTTCAATACAACTGAATCAATCCACAAATTAAATAAAAAAAACAGTACAGTATGCTGCTCAAGTGTGTTTTAATTGAAGATTGTTTAAAATAATTCAAAACCTTTAAATAACTAATTACATAACACTAGAACAATATGTAACAAGCTTGGGTATGGATGTTATTTTAATTTTATAAACTTACTGCAACACCACCATAGGATTTTCATCCAAGGACATAATTTATACACAGAAAAGACACTTGGGTTTGTCTACAAGTAAGCAGGAGACTGTTCCAAGATACAATATACATTTAATTAACACTAAGTTAAAAACCTATTCTAATGGAGGCAATAATGATTCTTAAACATTCAGCCAATTCTGCTCAATAATCCAGGTATAAAATCCAAAATTTTTCAGTCAGGTCATCTGGACAGTTTCTTTTCTTGTGCTGAAATGTTTCACCTTCGATCCGGAAGGCTTCATCAGTCAAGGAAACACACAACAAAACTGAATCTTCCCCCAACAGCTTACTCCAAAGTGGAACAAACCAGTTCTGCTTGTGATTAGATGGTCTCTGTCCAGATGACCTGACTGAAAAATGTTTCAGAGAAGCTGCTGAAAATGGAGGATCGCTTGATCTGGACCAATACACATCCTCAGTTTTGGGTTATATTAGTACATGTACTGACACCGTCTCCACCATCAGCTATGTTAAAAGCTACCCAAACAGTAAATATTGGCTGGATGCAGAGGTGCGCACCCTGCTGGAAGCCAGGAACACTGCCTTCAGGTCTGGAAACTCAGAGGAGCTGAGCAGGACAAGGAAAGAGCTGGTTGCTGGTATTAAGAGGGCCAAGGCCACATATGCACAGAGGACCGAGGGTCAATTCACCTCACAAGTAGGGGTTGAACGACTACATAATTTTTAAACTCAACATTAACATAATAAAACTCGAGTAGAACTTGAGTACTTGATTACATCATGGCATCTAAAGATACAAAAATAAATAAATAAATAAAACTGCAAAAAGGGTAATTATTTACAAAAAAAAAAGACCAACAAAAAATTGGGAGCATATATTATGCTCCTACCATTTATCATACTGCAAATAAGTCACAGGAAAAACTAAACTATTAGTTTTTATTATTAAGCTGCAAACGTGAAGAAACGTGCAGCACGTCAAAAACGAGACTAAAAACAGTGGGGGACGAACGACCACCCC